AGAATTGACATTAGATGCAAGCAAGGAATGAGACCAACCAGTGTCTCACACATCTATGTGTTCTCAGGCCATTGCCTAATATACATTGAGCACAAAGCTGATGTTTTCAGTGACTTGTCTCTTAGAGATTTCTCCTTAGAGAAATATTTCTAGCTCCAAAACACTGTCTCAGGCAGGGAAGGTGTTAAGAACAAAATTAGGAAACTATTGTAATAGTCTGGGGGGAAAGTGATGATGGCTTAATGGAAGATGTTAGCAATGAGGATGGACCTAGAGAGATTTAAGATGAATTAAGGAGGAAAAGGTTTGGTGGCCCTAGAGAAATGGTAGTCTTGAAGATATGTCCAAAAGATCATCTGGCCACCTGTTTATAGCAGCTCACCACTCTGGCCAAATCCTGAAGGTAGCTAGGATTTGTCTACAGTGTGGAGGCCTATGGGGACACCTACAGCTGTGTGTGCAAGACCAAAGGTAAATGTTATTTTTAATTAATTAATTAATTTGTTTATTAGTACTGGGGAGGCATGGCACCACTGAGCTACATCCCTGGCCCTTTAGGTGAGTGTCATTTATGCTATGGGGTAGGGTTTGCTGCATGGCCAAGTAACCTACATATTCCAGTCTTTTGTTTGTTTGAGGGACTGGAGATCGAACCCAAGGCCTTCATACATCCCCAACCCTTTAAAAAAATTTCTTTTGAGACAAGTTTTCACTAAATCACCAAGTTCCCCATGCAGGGCTCAAACTTGCAGAAATCCTCCTGACTCACTCTTTGAGATGGCTAGGATTACAGGCATGTGTCAACATAGATGGATTTTTTGTTTCTTTGTTTGTTTCCCCTGAGGATGTGGTTTAGTGGTTAAGTAATTGCCTAGTATACACAAGGCCCTGGATTCAGTATATTACTAAACAAACAAAAAAAAAAACAAAACAGCTTTTTTGATTCCTGGCTAGAACATATGTTCTTCTCCTACTTACAGGGATTCATATTGATTGCTTCTGCCTGATATACTTGATCTTTGCCTAATTGCTACCTTTTCTTTCATCCATCAGTCTAGTCTCAGTTTAGAAGTAATTTCTCCTGTGGTTCCTGCACTCTAGATTAGGTGTCTCTTCTATTTTTTTCTCCAAATATTGGTCAATTTTTTTTCAATGCTGGAGAATGAACACAGAGCCTCATAAATGCTAGACAAGCATTCTACCACTGAGCTACACCCCAGCGCTCTATATGATGTTTTAATAATTTCTAATCATAGAAGTGTGTGTGTGTGTGTGTGTGTGTGTATGTGTGTGTGTGTGTGTGTGATGCTGGGGATTAGTTTAGGGCCTCAAGAGCCTTCTCTACTAATAAGCTATACCCTTGACTCTCCTGTTTTTCTTAAAAGAGAGTCTCATTAAGTTGTCCAGGCTAGCCTCAAACTCCTTGCCGCAAGCAATCTTCTTGCCTCAGCCTCCCAAGTAGTTAGGATTACACAGGCCTGGCTCACTGTAGTCTTGATTTCACTTCCTTGATGACTAATGATGTTCACTAACACGTGTACTTACATGTCTTTTTTAGAGAAATCCCTGTTCAAATATCTTGCCCATTTTAAAAATTGTGTCATTTGTCTTTTCATTATTGAAATGCAAGAAGTTGCTTTTTTTTCTTCTTTTGAGACTGGGTCTCACTGTGTAGTCCTGGTTGGTCTCCAATCTGGGGTGATCCTCTTGACTCAGCCTCTTGATTTCTGGGGTACAGCCTTTAACACTACGTCAGTTGCAAGAATTCTTTATATATTATGGATACTAATCCCTTATCAGATAAAGATTACAAATATTTTTTCATTTTCCTTTGTGTGTGTGTGTGTGTGTGTGTGTGTGTGTGGTAGTGGGGATATAACCCAAGGCCTTTGCCCTAAGTTATATGCTCAGTCCTACTTATTTATACTTATATTTGTTTGTTTTAAGACAAGATCTTGGGTAAGTTAACCAGGCTGGGTTTGAACTTGTGATACTTCTGTTTCAGCTTCTGAAATAGTTGGTATTATAGGTATGTGCCATCACACCCTGCTCACTTTCTTTTTTTATTTTTTATTTTTATTTTGTGAGACAGGATCTTGCTATGTGGTTCAAACTGAATTTGAACTCACTATGAAGCTCAGGCTGCCCTAGAACTCACAGTAGTCCTCCTACCTCAGCCTCCTAAGCACTGGGATTATAGGCATGCACTACCACACCAGCTCCCCACAACACCCCATGCTGGGAATTGATGTGGTGCCACTGAGATAAATCCCTGGCTCTCACCAATTTTTTTTTTTTTTTTTTTTTTTTTTTTTTTTTTTTTTTTTTTTTTTTTTTTTTTTTTGGTGGTACTGGGGATTGAACCCGGGACTTTGTGCTCAAAAGACAGGCAACAAAATCACTGAGCCAAATCCCTGGTCCATGTCCTTAGTTTCCTTATTTTTCTTTGGTACTGGGGATGGAACACAGGTCCTTGTGCTTGCAAGGCAGGAGGCGGCACCACTGAGCTAAATCCGCAGCCTCACTTTCTTGATAGTATCCTGTTATGGTATTCATCTAGATGTTCCTCCAAAGCCTCATGTGCTCTTTGACGGGGTTTTTGGGAGGTGACTGGATCATGGGTGTGTGATCTTGGATTAGTCCATTGATGGGTTTATAGCTGGGTGTGATGTTGGGAGGTGAGGCCGGGTGGGAAGAGGTTGCCTACTGTGGGCATGGCCTGGGAGAGTGTATACATCTCTCCTGCTCCCTTGACACTTTCTGCTTCCTGCTGCCATGCCATGAACTGTTTCTTTTCCTCCATGCCACCCTGTGGAGGCAGTTGACTAGGGACTGAAACCTCTACAAGCTGTGATTCAAAATAAACCTTTTTTTCTTTAAATTGTGGGTGTTAGGTATCGCGTCTCCACAATAAGCAGAGTAAGACTTGTCCTTTGACACAAAAAAATTTTTAGTTTTGGTGAAATTCAATTTAACTATCTTTTGTTTTGTGGCTTGTTTTTGGTGTCATATCTAAGGAAACATTGTTTAATCCAAGGTCACGAATATACACTTGTTTTCTTCCAGGAACCCTTATATTTGGATTCTATAATCTTTTGAAAGAAGTAGAAATTCCAACACCATTCCTTTGTAGATAGTCATAGAACTTTTTACACTGTACTGAATTGCTTGTTTTTCTTTGCTACTAGGGTGCAAGTTACATTTATTGGTACATTTTAGGCATGCATAACGATAACACTCATAACAGGGAATTTGCATCTGTGATACTTCCCGCCCTTTCCCCCCATTTCCCTTCTCCCTGAAAGCCCCTTCCCCTCCCTACCTACAAAAGCTTTGTTTCCGTTTTTCCTTCTATTTTCTGTTTTTCCTTGTCCCTCCCTTCTCTCTTGTTCCCCTTCCCATTTGAACATTTACTTCCCATTTGTTTTAGTCCTTATTTCCATTTTTGGTTTCTCACATCAGAGAAACAACGTAGTATTTACATATATTTTTGATTTATTTAATTTAAGAGTATGGTCTCAAGGTGCATCCATTTAGCAATAAATGTCTTAAGCTCATCCTTCTTTATGGCTGAGTATTAAAGGTAGTCTTAATTTTTTTTTACAAGGCCTGGGATTTAGCTTAGTGGTTCTGCCGCGTGCCTCGCAAGCTCAAGGACCCGAGTTTGATTCCCGATTCCAAAAAAGCAACAACAAAAAACCCCCCAAATAATTCCTCTATGAAAGAATGAATTAGGTAGCTTAAATGTCAATTTTTTTCTTTGCTGAAAATTACACCAAGTTTACAGTAAGTTTTATTTATTTATTTATTTATTGGTACTGAGGATTGAACTCAGGGCCTTGTGCTTGTTAGGCAGGCACGGTATCACTGAGCTACATCCCTGGCCCGGTAAGTTTTATTTTAATCATGGTGTTGCCATTTAAAATTTCTGACAATAACAATTCAGCTGCAAACTACCACACTGGATAATAGAAATTGTACTGACAGGCTTTGGAGCAAAACCAATCTAGTTTCAAACCATAACTTTAGAATCTGTGTTACCCTGGGCAAATTACATGTCCCCTCTCCCATTCTTTTGTTATTTTTTTTTTTTTTTTTTTTTTTTTTTTTGGTACCGGACCGGGCATCAACTTAGGATCTAGCACTCTCGAGGCAGGCGCGGTGCCACTGAGCTAAATCCCCGGTGCTGTTCCACACATTATTATTCCCTAAAATGAGAGATTTGCTCAGGAGATTGGTATCTTGTAACTGCAATATTTTGTGCTTTGTAAGCATTTATCACATAGTAGCAGTTATTTATTAGTGCAAAGGAGTAGCAGCAATGTTGGAAAACCCCTTAGCATGCTGCTATCTTTAGTGCCAAATTTGTTCAATAACATGTACTCCAAGATTCCTATTTTGTGAATTCAGAGTACTGTTAGTTTTTTCAATACACTGGATTGAACCCAGGTCTTCGCACTGAGCTATATCCGCAGCCCTTTTTAATTTTGAAACAGGGTTGCACTAAATCTCCAAATTGTCAGTTTGGGTTGAAATTTGTGATCCTCCTCTCAGCCTTCCAGGGTGTTGGGCTTACAGGTATGCGCCACCTTGCCCACCTTACACTAGTTTTTTATTCGGAAAGGGTATACACAGAAATATAACCCAATATAAAAATGATCCTAGAGATATATGTACAAGTTCTGGAGCTCAGGCATAACAGGAAGCCTCCTTTTGGATATAAGGATTTAGAAACAGGAACCTGAACAGACATTCTAGTCATTTTGGATTGATTCAATGGGACACATAATTCAGGTTTTATAGTTAGTTGTTAACATGTCTGTCTCTACCCGAAGAGTGAGAGTAGGAACCACGTCTAAGTGATCTTTGGATCTCCAGTACAGCGGACACTACAGATGGTTGAAGTGGTGGTGCCTTAACCATCCATTGGAACCAGACGAGATTCTCCAGAGAGGGATGGAGAAGGCAGAAGGGGGAGAAAAGACCTCGGACCTATTGCCAAGGAAATAAGAGCTGCTCGGGTGTGTAACACAGCTGGTTTTAAAGTCAAGGTGGATGCAAAAATAGGTGGTTGTTACTCTTCCGCTCCTAGGCCGGCAGGGTCACTTCCGGGAGGGGGCGGGAAAATAAGAGGAGGCGTGCCTGGAAGGAGGCCGTTTGTAGCGCACCAGGCGGAAGTGTGCCAAAGGGATCAGGGCTACCGCTTCCGGTCCGCTACAACTCGGCATAGGTGCGCGGCGTGGTCTGTGTCATGTGGCGATAGGCTTCCGAGCTCAAGTCAGAAAGTGAGGAAGCCACAAGCAACGTCCAGGATCAAGAGGCTGGATTCTAGTGGAAAGACTGGTAAAAAAGAGCCAGGAACCTGAATACAACCTATCCGCTGTTTCCGAGGGGGCAAATTCCACGGGGAACCCCCCTCTGCCCTGGTAACGGCCAAAGAGGAGGAGATGGCGCCAGCCAGGGAGCGGCTGTGGCCAAGACAGTGAAGAAGCGCGAAGGCGGAGCAACCAAGAAGCCTGAGGAAAAGAATCAGAGCCGACGCTGTCACCACTGCCACCACCACCATGGAAGGAGCAAAGCCGACACTACAGCTTGTGTACCAGGCAGTGCAGGCGCTTTACCACGACCCAGATCCCAGCGGAAAGGAGCGCGCCTCGTTTTGGCTTGGGGAGCTGCAGCGTTCGGTGAGGGGCCCCGGAAGGTCGTTCTTTGCCGCGGGGCTAGGGCGGAGTGGGACCTAGCCTGGAGGGGAGCGCCTGAGCCGGGCGGTTGGCCTCTCTAGATTCTCCTGGGGAGGAGCAGCTGCGGCGGGGTGGGGCTGCGAAGCTACCTATCTGCGGCTTTTGGAAGCTAGTCGCAGCTGATCGGTCGCGAACTGGCCCTTTCCCCACTCCGTAGAATCTGATCTGTAAGTCCTGTACTTCTGGCCTGTGAGCTTCGAACCCTCTTTAAGTTCCACCCTCTCTATTGCTTCTTAGGCCGTGCTTTTCGGTTTTGTCTTCCTTCAGCCAAATCCAGCCCCAGTGTCTCTCTACCTTCACTTAGGGATACCTTATCCATCTCTCCTTCCTGTCCAGGTGTTACATCTGGCAGTTCCTTCCCAGTTGTACCCTTACTCACTCCCTGTTCTTGCTGATTTTTGCTCCTGTTTGGACCATTATTCTCGAAACTTCTTAGGTTTCTAGATTCGTAGACATGTGAGTTCCCCCCTCGCTTTGTAGTACAACATAATATAACAAAAAAATCATCTCTGGTTTCAGAAAATCACGGGAGTTGCTCATTTTTGCTTCATTTTATTTCTCCGTTTTTATTTGGATATCATAGTTGCCTTGATTTTTCCATATAACTGAACGTTCCTTGGAATGCTTGTCTTTTACATCGTATTTTTTCATTCTTTGACTCATATATATGTTTTATGCTTTCTGGTCTAATTTTTACACTCACCTTTTCTGTGTGTATACCAGGTGATCTTGCTGACATGAGTCCTAAATGTAGGATTTACTTTATGAATTGCGAAGTATTTTGAAAACTGGAGAGGCTGATATGTATTGACAGAACACTCACTTTTACCTTTTTTTGTTTGTTTGTTTAGCAATGATGGAGCTCAAATCCGGGGTCTCAGGGAAGGCTAACCAAGTGCTGTATTACTGGGCCCTCATATTTCCCTTCATTTTGTGTTTTATGCTCACAAGTGTATTTTTCTGTTTGCCCTCTTCCCGTTTATCTGTGTAACTCAACTGATATTTAAAGGTGCTCTGCCCTATTAAATGAACTGTAGGTGCTTACTAAATATTAAAGTTTGCAAGTTTAGGTTTGACTATTGCACTTAAAAAAATTGGGGGTCCATTCTTTGTTTACCCTGTGGGAAGACAAAAGGAATGACTTTCTTGTAGGCTGCCTGAGGAAGTCATTCACATATGGTCTCATTCAATGTTAGGCTTCTGTGATCTGGGAGTCACAATTTCCTGATATTCATGTTGGATTTTGGGGAAGGGGGACAGGATTGAGTCTTGCTGTGCATTCCAGGCTGGCCTTGAACTCACATTACCATCCTTCTGCCCAGCTTCATGTTGTTTTCTAAAATATAAATAGGAGAACTGTTGCACATGGCTGTAATTCCAGCTCTTAGAGGCTGAGGCAGGAGAATTGCAAACTTGAGTCCCAACTGGGCAACTTAGGGTCTTAGCAAGACCTTTTCTCAAATAAAAAATAAAAGGAAGGCTGGGGATGTAGTTCATTGTGGAGGGCCTGGGTCCAATCTCCAGTACTGAAAACAGAAAGAGTGTGTGTGTCTGTGTATACATAATGCTAAACAGTACAATATTAAAAAGTGAGGAGCTGGGCATGGTGGTGCATGCCTGTGATCCCAGCACTCAGGAGGCTGAGACAGGAGCACTGCTGTGCGTTTGAGACCAGCCTGGGCTACATAGTGAGTTCCAGGTCAGTCTCAACTACACAGTGAGACCCTATTTCAAAAAACAAAACAACAACAACAACAAAAAAGTGAGGTCTTCCTACTTAACCTGCCTATTATATTAAATCAGTGCCACCAGCTACTGAGCTGGGTATTGGTATTTGGAAATGAACTAGACAGAAATGACTGTATGTGTTAATAGCTACAAAAAGCTTAGAAAATTCTTCTACCCAGAGCTTAAAGTATGTTAGCAGTTGTTAGTCACTTTTATCTCTTTACTATCCATTATTCTCTGTTATAACCTACATCATCATCACTATTAATAGGGTTTCAACAGGAACAGATGACACATTTGTCAGGATAATTCAAGAAGAGTCTTTTATAAAGAAAGGTACTATTTATAAAGTTGTAGGTATAATGGTACCACAAGAAATAGTGTAGTAACTTGTAGCCAAACTATTAATATTCCAGGCTGGAAAGGAATAATAGAAGGAGTGGTTACCTGGCTGTTTTTAGAGGAATGGGGACTTTTGGATGGAGGGACACAACTAACTTTGAGGTACCTTGGAGGAGGCATTCTGGAAGAACAGATTTCTTGGCCTTATTCTCTTAATTTCTGGATTCCCTATTGGTCAGACTCATCCAGAAGCCAGGGGATGTCAACTTATTGATAACTTTGATATAGCTCAGCCTGCTGAAGTAGAAGAGGTGGTGAAGAGGAGTAGGAAAGTAAACCTGGAAAATGTCCAGGACGGTCACACATCATATTTGGACAACTTCATCCCAGTTGATAATTCAACTAAAACTTTGGCCTCTTAATTCTTTTTTTCCCCTCCTGAAACAGGGTCTCATTGTGTATGCCAGACTGACCTTGAACTCACTGTGTAATTCAGGCTGGCCTTGAACTCCTTTTTTTTTTTGCGGTACTAGGGATTGAACTCAGGACCTTGCACTTGGGAAGCAGGCTCTGTGCCACTGAGCTAAATCCCCCAGCCTTGAACTCTTGATCATCCTCCTGCCTCATCCCAAGTGGTGGGATTACAGGCATGTGCCATCACACCCAGCTGGCCTCTTGATGCTTTGTTTTTTTGTTTGTTTGTTTGGTTTTTTGAGACAGGGTCTCACTATGTAGTTGAGACTGACCTGGAACTCATTATGTAGCCCAGGCTAGTCTCTAACTGATCCTCCTCCCTCAGCCTCCCTAGTGCTGGGATTACAGACAAATCTTTTCATTTTCTTAAGGTACCTGGTCACAGTCATACTCAGGTTTTGTCATACTAAAAAGTCAGTCACTAATCCTCCAGCTCATTTAGATATTCCCTTCTGATCCTGGTCCACTGGTTTTCCAGTTTGCTGGCTCAGGAATTTCAAGTAACCCTTTGTTGAGTTTTTATTTTTTATTTTATGAAATCTTACATAATTTTAATTTGTATGAAAATTCAAAGTTTTTTTTTCCTTCATACCAGGGATCAAACTCAGGACCTTCCCTTTGTGAGGCAGGCACTGTGCCACGGAGCTAAATCCTTGGCTCTTAAGTTGTTTTTTTGTTTTTTTTTTTTTTTTTTTTTTTTTTGGTACCAGGTATTGAACTCGGGACCTTGTGCTCACAAAGACAGGCAATGGAATTACTGAGCTAAATCCCTAGCCCCTAAAGTTTTATTTTTAACACTTAAAAATTTCATGCAACTTTCCCCCGCTGATTGTTAGTACCCTTCCCTTTAAAAAAATACTTGTTTTCTGTGTATCTAATTCATCCAAAATATCTGCCAGTACCTTAAAAAGCATCTTTGCATATGTTTACTGGCGCATTCCTTTCCAGTCTGGCTTGGTTGTTTGTTGCATAATTATTGTTTTGGGACCCCTACCTCTAACATCATTCTAGGGAGTTTTTTCCACATCTTTCTTGTGTTGGATCTACTGAGTACTTGGATCCCATAATCTCTTCCATTATTTGATAATTGACAAGGATACCTTCATCTCTTTGATCTTACTGCCTTTCTGTTGGTTTTTTTGTTGTTGTTGACCACTTTTATCTTGAGCAGAGTACTCAAGTCTTCTGGTTTGGATTATAAAGTAGGCTGCAGCCAGGTAAGGGGAAGAGGCCAGAGGATGGATCTCACCATGAAGTGTGTAGGCTTTAGTAAAATCTTGTTTTCAGGTGGTAATACTTTTGCTTTTTTGCGGGGGGGTGGTGGTTGAGACAAGGTCTCACACTGTTGTTCAGCTTGGCCTTAAACTCTAGCTGATTCTCCTGCCTCAAGTTCCTAAGTGCTGGGATTATAGGCATGTGCTACTTGGTGCCATCTGCATTAGTTCTTGAATTTCATGTTGACCTCAGTGCACTCTTTCTTCTATTTTGTTTTGTTTGTCGCTTAATTATGTATACCACCAAGCCTTCCCCTCTGATTTGGTAAAATGCCAGCATGGATGAGTCCAGCTGCCTCTCTCCTGTCTGATCTAGGTGCTCTGTGTAGCATCTTCTGAATTCCCTGGATCCTTGATCTTTTAGTTTCTATGTGTGGTGGTGGTGGGGTGGTAGTGGTGGTAGTAGTGGTAGTGGTGGTGGCATAATGTGGATTGAACCCAGGCTTTTATATTTATTTCGAGACAGGGTCTTGCAAGGTTGACTTGGCCCTGTTTGAACTTGAAATCTTCCAGCCTTGGCTTCACAGGGGGTTAGGATTATAGGCATGCACCACTGCACTTGAATTTTTTTTCGCTCTTTTTGGCACCGAGGATCCAACTCAGGACCTTGGGCTTGCTGTGCCACTGAGCTAAATGCTTGAGCCCTCACTTGATATTTGTGTGTGTGTGTGTGTGTGTGTGTGTGTGTTTGTTTTTAGGAACCAGAGTCTCACTATGTGGCCCAGACTGGCCTCCAACTCAATCCCCTGCCTCAACTTTATTTTTTGAGGTAGGTTCTTACAAAGTTTTGAGTAGCTGGAATTATAGGTGTGTGCCACTGCTTCTGGCTAAACATAGTGTTTTTCTTTCTTTCTTCTTTTTTTCTTTTCTTTTCTTTTCTGTGTGTGTATATGTGTGTGTGGTTTTTTGAGACAGGGTCTCACTACATAGTTGAGACTGATCTGGAACTCACTATGTAGCCCAGGCTGGTCTCAAACTCACAGTGATCCTCCTGCCTCAGCCTCCTGAGTGCTGCGATTATAGGCCTGTGCCACCATCCCCAGCTCTAAGTATAGTGTTTTAATGCTTGCTTTGAAATTGGTGAGGAACAGAATTTGTGTGGTTGACTACAAAACCACTTTTAAG